AAAAATTATGTGAATGATGAATAAATTCTTATAAGAGGTTTTTAAATTTATTATGAAAGAAATTAATTTTTAAAAAGGTTTGGAATAAATTTTATAGAATTAATGACCTAATTGCATAGAATTAGGGACAATTAGGTCCTTAATTGAATAAAATTAAAAGTTTGAACTTTCATATTAAATTAGTAATGAACTTTAGAAAGTAAAAATTTGTTAGAAAAACCTTAAAGGTAGGGCCTAAAGGAATCTATTGAATAATGAGAGGACTTATGGAAGAGCAATTGTAGGAAAGTTTATTAAATTAAGAGACTAGAAATTAAATAATTTTAGGAGAAATTTTCTCCCTCTTTTTTCTATATTCTCATTCAATTATTGAGTTTGTTTAATGCATTAAAAAAATGGAAGGTTAGTGCTTAAAGTAGATGGTTAGATGGAAGGTTAAAAATTAAAGAAAGGATGGATGTCTAAAAATTAACACAAATGAAGGGCTTAGATTAAAAGAAAAATCAAGGGCTAGGATTAAATCAAATTAAGTGTAGAGATTAAGTCAAGCAAGAAGAAAGTCCATCCAAGCTTACCTATAAATATGCGTGGAAGAAATGAGAAAAAGGTTGGAAAAATAACAAAATACAAGAGAAATTCTTGCAAATTTTCTATAGACTTCCACCAAAAACTTCATCTAAACATTTTTAATCACCTAAAAACATCCTATTAAGTATATAATTCAAGTTAGAAAATCAAAAATCCCAAGAAGGAAAAATTGAAGATTGGGTTGAAAGTTTGAAAAAAGGGGAGGAAGAAAAATCTCAAAGGACATCAATCTTTCAAGGATTTAATTGGAGCTTTAGAGGTAAGTTAATCTCATCTACACCACAAGGATGTGTTTATTGATGCCAATTGTTGATTTAGAACCCTTAAATTGTGTTTAATTGAATTAATTTTTAAAATTAGGGCTAGGATTCTTAAAGAGGAAAATTTGGTGAAAATAATTTTTACTTAGAAATTCATGTATTTAAAGTTATAACATGTTAAGTGGGTACGAAATTAACTAAGAAGAATAAAAAATTCCTTGGCCTATTAATGGTGTACCATTTGGCCCAATTTGGTGAATTTAGGGTCTTTGATCCTTTGGTTTGTGTGATGAATTATTGTTTGATTATGTGTTATTTAAGTATGAATAGATGATTTAGTATGAAAAATTATAAAAAATTAAAATCTTCACCTAGTTACGAGTAGGGCCATATTCGGCCTAATTCAAGGGAAATTTAGGGTTTTAATGTTTTGAGTTTATAATGGTTTGATTATTGAATTTCAATTTACTATAGTATAAAAAGATGAATTAGTATGAAAAATTTCGTTGGAATTGAAAAATTAACCTAATTTACCCTAGGTGAAGTTTCGACCCATTGGGCTCAAAATTAGGGTTTTGAATGCTATTAGCTTATGAATATCTAATTGGTTACATTCATGATATTAAAGTGTATTTAAATGAATTAGCATGAGAAATTAGTATTGCAATTGAAAAACCTACCTAAATTAGGTTAATGAACATTTGGCCACTTTGAGAACAAAATTAGGTTTATGGATTATTTTGTGTGTTATGATTGTGATTTGGATTACATGTTACCATTGAATATGAATTATGTATTTACTATGTATGGAAGTTATGAATTTCATGATTGATGAAGTACAATGTCTTGTACGGAACAAAGTTGCCATTGTAAGATTATATGATGCTTATGTTAATGGTGCCATTGTTTGGAATGGTTTGGCAAGGTAATGTTCTATGTATGCATTTCTAATATTGAAACATGCATTATCATGGCATAAATGCACACCTATCATGGCATGCACTACATGAATTCATGATAATATGCATTTACATTAAAATGCATGCACACCATTCATGCCATTGTTTGAAGTACAATGGCTTGGTTTGGAATGACTTGGAATGGCTTGGCAAGGTAATGTGCTATGATGCATTTATAATATTGAAACATGCATTATCATGGCATAAATGCACACCATTCATGACATGCACTACATGAATTCATAATAATTATGCCTTTACATTGAAATGCATATGCATGTCAAGTTTATGAGAAAGGTTTAAAGTCATGAAAAAGAGGATTTTCTTTCAAGGAATTTCCAATAGCGATTGAAAATATTTCATGATTACAAGGTTTTCATGACTTCATGATTTTATGAAAAGGAGCTTCATTGGTTTCCATGGCATTCATGGTTAAAGGTTTTAAGGTCGAGTGGGTACAAATATGCACTTTTAAAGACTCGATAGGACACGTCCGCAAACTCGGTTTGGTTCTCCAAGCATATCACGAAAATCCTAAAGTCAAAACATGGGACATGTCCAAAGATAAAAAAGATTTTTCAAAAAATTCATGATGAGGATTTTATGATATGAAAAAGGATTTTTCAAAGAACATGTATATAATTTATCATATGCATTTCATTTATTTGCACATCATGCATAGATTAACTTATTGAGTAATCACTCACCAAGTTCCTATGGTGTAGGTGCTAAAGGTAAAGATGATAATGTTCACACTTAAGTCGACAATCGAGGGATCAGTACGCCTCGTGTATCTTGGATGTGATCGCAAGGTGGACCTCCTTCGGACGGTAGATATATTAGTGCTCGGTATTTTGGTTTATATTCTAAGCGGGACATCTTTCTTTTACATGATAGTCAAAACCATAAAGAAATGAGTAATTAGCTTGAAAAGAAATGGATGTAAATAAATAATAAGTCATTTCGTAGTATGCGGCATAGAACCGGTATATATAAATTAAGAATAGTTTGTATGCTAGTCAAAATATCTATAGTAACGTAGTAGCACAAACATAATTAGTGTCGTTTCCTTTTAATTAATTTCTCACATGTTAGTGTCAATAATAAAATAAAATTAAAATTAATAAGGGAAATAACAATAATAATGGCGGTTAATGAAGATAAAAGAAATTAAATACCAAATAACAGGTAATAGGTAAATAAAATTATACGGACGAATAGAAAAGGAATTTGAGAAAATCGAGCGTTACGGATCCAGTCCATTCAATCCAAGCAATTTAAATAAAATGCCAAAATGTAAAAAATTTATAGTGCATTTTGGACTAAAATTTAGGACCTACCCATCATTGTTAAGCTTCCGTAGCTAAAACCATACCTAGTTTATCGTAAGAAAAGACACGAGTGCCTTGTTGACTTACATTCATTGCACCTCGAATGTAAGTCAACTCGAATGCAAGCCAATGACGGTAATATTCTCGATCTATTAGGTGCTAGTTTGGGGATGTTACACTATCGTTGCTAAATTTGAGGTTGATGGAACTAGAGCAATCTTGCATAAACATCTTTATTAAATATTTTGTCTCCCTTATGATCTTAAAGGGGTGATGGCCACAATTTTTTCTCCTAGTGGCGATCATCCTCAATAGAAGGGACTTCGTTAGTCCTCGAGAAGTATCAATCGAGTCCTTAAAAAGTGATGAACCTATCTCTAGGCATGACATTTTTAACTACAACGCATTTGACGGAATGTGCGCCTTATGGGCCTCCGTATGGATTGTTAAGTTTACCTTGAACTCATCAACATATACTTTAATTTAAAGATAGTTGGACTAAAACTATAAGGGTTAATATCTTCATATGCCCTTATATAATGGATTGAGTTTTCAATATGTCATTATATCTTAAAATAAGTTAATTATGTCCATGTTATTTAAGCAAGTTTCTAATTTGACATTTTAGCCAATTTTTCTAGTCAAACCATTTGAAAATATCATATGATTTGCACATGATTTTTTTTTTTTAATTGAAATACCCTTCACGAGTTTAACATGTTAAGCTTCTAATCTGTCCTTATAAAGATCGAGTCTTCAATTTATTCTTAATGCTACGAAGTCTATTATACACTATAGTGAATGTTTTTGTTAATTAAAAATATATAAGAATAATTAGTATATGTCGGTATGTAAGTGTTCAAAGAATTATCATTTAATATATTTTTAATGCTTAAGAGTCTATTATATTACTGTCATTATCGTGATTCATTTACGTATAATATTGAATAAATTGATATAATATTTACTAATATATTAAATCATCTATATAAAAAAATGAGAATCGTGTGCAAAAAAAAAAAAAAAAAACATATAATTAAAAAAAATAATTACATGTTTTTTTTTAATTTTTTGCATGTGATTCACACACACACACATATGAGATTTAATATATTGATAAATATTATATCAATTTGTTCAAGTATTATACATAAATAAATTATTATAATGAAACGGACTCTTTAGTAAAAAAAAATTTTAAATCACATTTTATTGAACACTCACATACTAACTTGTACTAATTATTTTTATATATTTTTAATTAACCAAAAAGTGACTATAATGCTACACATTATTAGAAAAATTATTAATTAACTATATATAATAGTCTTTTTTAGCATTAATGACATATTAAGAACTCAATCCATTATACAAGAATAAACTGGAAATTAACATGTTAAGCTAGCTAAGAAAGGGTATTTTCATTCAAAAAAAGAAAAAAAAAGATCATATGCAACTATGTGATATTTTCAGGTGATTTGGTCGAAAAAATAGATTAAAAACTTGCTTAAATAACATGAACATAATTGAGTCATTTTAGAGTATAATGATAGATTGAACATTCAACACATTATATAATAACATATCAAGATATTAACCTAAATAATAATGCACATGGCAATTGCATTACAATATTATTATAAACAAATTATCATTGTTGTTGTTTACACAGAGAAACCTAGCATAAAATAAACGAGTTTCCCATAGGCTGTTTATACACCGCTTAAGCAACACTAACTCTAGAATTCTAGAATTTGTCCATTAAATTCGAGTTTCCTGCCGAGTGCCACTATCATAACCAGCAACGTAATCGATACCCTTTCTTCACGTTTGGTCTGTCCCTGTCGCATTTGGTAGAATGTTTAGGAGAAGAACTCATAGTCCTTGGCTGTAAGGATGATATGCCGTAGGGCACCAATGGGTGACAAAACCATCAACAGAATTCCAAGAATAATGCAGACCTGAAATGTGTATATATATATATATTTGAATTAATTAGCTCGAGCCTCAAATGTTGATTGGGTAAGTTTTTAAACAGTATCAAGATACATACATAGTTTATGATCCAAGAGAGGCTGAACTTCTTGGGTTTGCAGATGCCAAGCCACATGATGCAGGGGAGCTGTAAAGAGTAGAATTTTTATTTTTATTTTTTTCAGTGATGATAGCATAATATGAAGCAGGCATATGGACAATAATATATATATATAGGGTTAAGTGCTTACAAAGTATGTTGTTGGGGCAAAAGCAAATCCTCCGAAGAACGAAAGCAGTCCACCGAAGAATGGAATACATATACCAACAAACATAGTAAACGCTGCAAACAAATCAATGAAAAGATTTAGCACCCAAAGCCGATAGAAAGGGATTCAGAATAGAGGTAGTTAGCCGGAAAAAAAGGATACAGTGGCCTGGCAGTGGAAGCTGCACTTACCAACATATATCGTGCGAGTAACAAAGCGAAGCATGAGAGAAGGAGAAAAGTTCAATTTCGTCACCAATGCAGTTTCCAACAGGTCGAACACTGCCATAGCATATATCTGCAGATTGAAACATAGAGCCAAATGACTCGGTGACTAGATATGCATGCAGTAGGAGCAGGAATCGACCAAACCTGAACTAAAAATAAATATTGATTAATTAAAATCCACCTGGTAGCTTCCAATAACATGAATGACTACAAACATGTTGGCAGTTGCAATAAGCCAAGCTGGTTTCTCCAGTGAGATGAGAATGTTGTCTTCCACATTGTTACCATAATACCAGTATCCAATCAAGGCAACTGGGAAGTAGCAGATGGCGACGACAAGATATGCAAGGAATGCTCCTCTCCACATGGGTTTCTTGGAAGGTTTCTCCGGAGTAGAAGGAATTGTCGCTTGGATCTCCAAGACCACATTGTGACCAGCATATGCAAAAGCTACATCACCCAAGGCAGTGAAAAAGTCAAAGACAGCTCCTGTTTTAGTGCTTGCTTTATAGCTGTAATCGACATCTGGCTGAACACCCTTTTTAAGCGTGGCTCCCCAAGCGATTGTGGAGTAACTGCATAAAATCATCACAATATACATGTATCCAAGTTAAGAAGAAGATGTTGGATTATAGATATATGTGAACTGAAGTGAAGCAAATTAATTTGAGTAGCTAGCTAGGTACGTACCTCAAGGACATGACTGCTGCAGCCAGTGAGACAACACTAATGGAGTTGAAATTGGGAAGATGAGACAGAACAAACTGAACTGAAGCGAAAATCATGATGAAGTATGTTAGCTTGATGTCTTTGCACTCGGGGCAAACCACATCATGAAACTTCTTCAATGATTTTCCTCCAGTAACCATATAGACAATGTTTACTCCAACTTGTACGACCAGTTGCTGTGGCACAACAATCCACAGACCCAGCTTCTCTCCAAACACATGTTGCCCTAGCTCATGGTATCTATCAAATCGTTTGCCAGGCACCATCTCATGCATTTCGACCATTTGCCATAGGGTGTATAACGTGATCACCCATGACAAAATAAGAATGACAACACCTGGTCCCCTATAATTTCATTAATGCAGAACGGTTAAGCTCATATATATATAGGGAAGAGGAAATTAAGCATATATACACAAGACACACACACACACCATCCAAGTTGAGCCATGGCATATGGGAGACTAAGAACGCCAGCACCAACCATGGCAGTAACATTGTGGAAGGTTGAGTACCACCATTTGGCATTCCTCGAGGAAGTGACGGGAAGCCAATCATTTATGGCCTTTTCTCTTGTTGCTGCATCGTTCTGTGACTCGTTGTATGCCATGATTACAATCCGTCTACTTAACGTAATAAACAAAGTCACATAAACGTTGGTTGATTCAAGCAATCTTAGCCTCCTTGGGTCCTTCTCCACAGAAATTCTTCTGAAATCGTAAACCCGACATGCAATTTATTAAGAGGATATACGAGATGATAGTGGAGAAATGCTGCAAAGACCAAAGATGGCAAATTGACAGTTTGTAATTTAGGATCATACTATTTCTCTTCCAGACCCAACTTTGAATCTAGCTGAGCCATTCGCTGAGGGGGCAAATGAGATTCCACCTATTAAAGTACCAAAATACCCTTATTTTGTTCTGTTTCTGTTTCCTGAAGGAGGGGTTCATTTGTAAATTTGCGCATGTTTGAAAATGGCATGTTGAATTATTGATCCCCATAACCACTAGTTGATCGCAAATTTCTCAAAAAAGCTGGCTATATATAGGTGGAGAAATAATCTAGAAACATGCACAAATGGAGGGAGTTAATTTTTTCTATTTTTGCTTGTGCTGCTAACATTATGAGGTCCAGAAAATGGGGTGGATACAAAAAAATAGTGAATTATTTGACCAAAAAACTAATGGTGCTTTTGTTCAATATTGACTTCGACTAAACTAATTATTTTGCTATTACGTCGGCAGATATCAGTCCATATTTCTTCTATATTGAATAATTTAAATATTAAGAATATATATATATATATATATATATAGATTACTGGGACCTATAATTAATTAGGTGTCATTTTAAAATTATGATCTGATTAACAATTCATGCATATTCTTAAAATTTTTAATCATTTATTTTTTTTAATATTAATTTAGCATTCTTCTTCTTCTATATATGATTTACGTCAAGAACGTATATACAAATGTCAATTAATGCAGATTAGTTTTGGGGAGAACATATTACATACCTGATTTTGTCAAATCATCAGTTACATGATGAGTAACAGAAGGAGAAGATTATAATATTTAAGTATTGTATGGTATGATTCAAGGACGTAATTGCCATGCATATTGTTGCGTCGTTTCTCAGCTTATCACTGAAACAATTGTTTCAGTCAACTTCAATATCAGCTTTTGATATCTATCTGTTATACGAAAACATTAAAGCATCTGACATATATATTGTTCTGCAAACTCTCACCATTACGGTAAATTATTTCTGAATAAAATAAGAGTTAGTTTTCGTAGTCAATTTTGTTCGAATCAAACTTTTAATATACTGAAAAAGTTTAATAATAATAATAATAATATACTACCAGAGTTTCAGTGTATTTATTAATAAAACTCTTCATTATTAGGGAAATGATCTTTGTTAACACTGTGCTGTTTCAACCATTTAGTGAGAGCACAGTGTTGCTGTTGCGCGCTAAAAGCACGCGATTTATAGGAATTTTTAGAGATACTGTATGGTTTGTGTTAATTAATTGTTGAGATTATTAGGTATTTGGTGAGCTAAGTTTTTTTTTTTAAGATTAATACAACCAAATATATAATAGGTCAATTTTTTAATCTATTCTTAAATTTTTAAACGCCTCCAATCTGTTTTTATTATTTGATTTAGTTTTCAAATTGTCTTTATTTAATGAGTTGACTTTTATTTGAATTGGTTTCAATTTTTCTGGTCAAACCATCCGAAAAGTTTACATGACCTTTACTTTGATAAAAATGTTGTTGCAGACTTAATATGTTAAATTTATAATTTTTTATATAATGAGTTGAGTTTTCAATCTGTCTTTAATGCTAAAAAGTCTATTATTATTATTATTATTATTATTATTATTATTATTATTATTATTATTAATGTTTTTAATAATGTGTTGCAAATTTTATGTTTATTAAAAATATAAAGATAGATATATAATCACTTCACCACAAGTTATCGATGTCGGCACGCTCGCGAGGCGAACAAGGAGTGGATATTTAACTAATCGAAGATAACTAGAAAACCTTAAAAGTATTGGTCCGCATAGATATTTGTATAAGAATTTGGTTGCATATGAGAAAGATATGATATTACTCGTCATCCCGTCTTAACTAAGATAAGCTACATTGAATGCATGTGGAAATAAAAATCTATTTTTTTTAATTGTATTATGCTTCTATATCTATTTAAATGAGTTTATTTTTTTAAGATGTGAAAACAAGATAGTTTGGGGTTTTGAATGTAAAACGGAAGCGGTTTGGAGGTTTAGACCGATCTAAGGCTAGTACCCCTACTCAAACGGGAAATGTGGAAAAAGTCAAAATTTCAATTAATCTTTAATGAACACGACCTATTATCGAAAACGAGGTGAGTTTCTAAATATGAATAACCTTTTATTAGCATGAGCAACGAGTCATCGATGACTTCACTTACACAAGTGAAAAGTTATCGATAACTTCTAATCGCAAATTTGAAAAGCTACCAACAACTTCGTTATGCAAGTAAAAAATTGTCGGTAACTTCATTTTTACTCAAGTAAGGAGTAGATAAGCTGGTTTAGAAGCCATTAACGATTTTATCACATAAATGAAAAACCACCGACGACTTTGTTTCAAACAAGCGGACAATCAAATAAAATAATCTCAAAACCACGAGTTGTTGTGTGGTCGTGGTGAGGGCAAGGCTTGCAAAGAAGAGAGGGGTCATTGAGGCAATGCTTGCGAGAGAGGGGTTGTAGGCGAGAGAAAGGAGTTTCGGGTGAGAAATTCTTGTTGTAATAGGTTGGTAGCTTGGTGTGGGTTATGTTTTTCTAGCCAAAAGTAAGGGAGGAGAAAGATGAAGCATGGCTACCTCTTTCCCTTTTTTTTTAATTGTTGCGACCAACTATAGGGAAGAAGATGAAGGTTGGTGAGGTCTGCAAGAGGAGGCACTCGGATAAGGGGGCTTCGATTGAGTTAGAGCTTGCAAGGGAGATGATGATTTCGAGTAAAGGAGAGTTGTAGTAGAGAGAAGGTAGGTTGGGTCGAAGAAGATGGTGAATGAATAATGTAGGCTGGCTTTGTTAAAGATGGTGATGACTAGTGTCTAGGTCTATAAAAATGCAAAATAGATCTTTTTATAGGTGTCTTTTTTCAAGTTTTTTTTTGGCAAAAGTCTAATTGGTCTTTGGTTCTCTACAATTCATCGATTTAAGTTTGGTTTTAATTGTTTGTTTCAATGAGGCCCTTAAATCTCAATTAATTAGGACTTTTTAAAAAAATTCTTTCAATTGTGCCCCTCTTTAATTTAAATAAGAGACTGAAGTTTTTGAATTTTTTAATTGGCCCTCAATTGTTTTTTTTTTTCCAAACTTTCTATTTTTTTTTAATTAGCCTCTCCTAGAACCAATCTAAGCTAATTATTCAAATTGATTTATTTTTTCGTTTCTTTATTTATTTTTTATATACTTGGCATTTTTGTTTTGTTTATCATTTTTTTTTGTATTTTTTGCAATAAAAATAAAAATAGAATTAAGAATAATAAGAGCAAAAATTGGGTGTTAACACAAGTGATACCTCGTTCTCATGTGATGATTTCTTCGCCAACGAGAGAATTGATAGATTTTTAATTAACATAAAATTTGTAATATATTATTAGAAAAATTAATAACAATAATTTAATGGATTCTTTAGCTTTAAAAACAAATTGAAAACTCAACCCATTATATGAAGACAGATTAAAAACATAACATGTTAAGCTACAATGAATATTTTTGTCAAAGTGAAAGTCACATGTATCATTGGGTGGTTTGACTAGAAAAATTAAACGGAATAACAAATTGGAAACCAGATTAAATAATAAGAACAGATCGAAGGCATTACAAAATTTAGACATATTGAAAAATTAGTCTATTATATAACGATAGGTAAGAGTATTAACTCTTTTTTTTATTTTTTTAAATGTATGATGTTTTTTTAGATTTATTATAAAGCGTCCGTTAATTTGATATGGCAAGATGCTGACATATATACCACGTAAGCATAAATATTTTATTTTTATGTCTAAATACTTACATTTTCTTCTATTTGAGTGAATCCAGTTTAACAAAATGTTCAGAAACGATAATTCGAAATCGGCTACTACTTTATATTCGATATGAATATAGCTTGGGCAACAGGCTTCTTTTTGGAGGATTTCTAGGATATCAAATTGTTGCCGAGATAAAAGACAGCCCTCAGTTGATTTGGAATCGTCCGAAGAGCCTGCCCAACCAAAATCCGAAAAACTCCTAATGCTTGACAGAAGTGATTTTGAACGCACCAACAGAGTCAAGAAACGAACAGAAGAGAAACCGAAGTTACTTTAATTGGTTAACCATATCCAAGCCCATATAAACACAACCCAATGTTTAATATCCCCCGTCCCCACCAACTCGTGCAAGAAACAAGAACACATAACTTTGCAGCATAGTAAGCCCTCTGTTTCATATAACAAACCATGATCCTACTTCAGGATATATCACAAAGCCATTTAGCCAGATTTAGATTTAGATTTAGATCACTTTGCATTTTAATTACTAATGAGATACAAATTTATGTCCCACCCAAAGTTACTGGGTTTTCCACTTCATTTTGCTGCAATTTATGATGGCCTCTGGATGATGAATTTGCAGCTCTTTCAAATAGGGCCTGGCCCAGTAATCACTTGGGAACGATGCTGCTGCTCTTGCTGTCTGTACCATCTTCGTTTCCATCTCAAGAACTCAACAAGGATGGAACTCCCACTCATTGCTACGCCAAATCCAGAAAATGTTGCCAGGAGAATGGATAGAACTGCTTGCACATTGACCTGCAGGGCATAAAGCAAGAGTGGAAAACATTTTAATCTGAGTAAATACATAGAAAATATTCAGTGTAAGATCGCTTAAACTTCAGCTTCAAACAAGGTCAGAACTCAAGCCAGGACAAAATCTAAATTTCAGCTATTTGTAAACTTTCCTTTGATCAAGGGATGAGATCTAATGCAATCAACTCAGAATCACGTTTTCGACACAATTCTGTAACTTATTCCACATCAAATATGAGAGTTGGCACCAGAAAACAGCAGGAAGCGATTCCATGCCAAATCCTATACTCTGTTACCAAAACCTTAGCTATATAACCTCCAGTCAACAAAACCTTCAATCCCAAAGAGCTATACAATAACTTTAGCTCCTTAGTTTAATCTTTTCCTGGATATTGTCAGATTGTTGTAGTGGTGGAAATAGTAGTTGCTATTCTTGTTCTTGTAATGCTTTGAAAGTGGGATGTGTTTTGCAAATGATAATAGATGAGACATTACTCACCAAAGAGTAGAAAATATGTGCAAAGAGAACCACCAGGGCAAATTGAATTGCTGCATAAACCCAAACAAATCTTCTCTTCACTGCAAGGAAAAAGCTAAAAAGGTGAGAAGCAGAAATTATTTACATAAGCAGGAAATCTACAAGGAAAGATTTCCATTGAACATTAGATTGCCAATCAAAAGTTTTCTGGTATAGAATTGCTACCATAATACTTGAATCTACAAGGCAAATAACTGCCTTCATTTGTGTGTGCATATGTGTGTGAGAGACAAAGCAAGTCTCCTACCAAGAAAATCAAAGTTGAAATATTACACCACTTGTTATTGTATTCCAATTCACAGCAAGTGATTTCTGCATGTAAGATCTTACAGTACTTATGGATTCAAACCTCTTTTTTTTTTTTTTTTTAACTAGTACGACCAGCTTACCCATGGTTGCCGAGATCATGGATGAGAGAAGGCCCAGTACGCAAGAAAATGGAAGGGATATAGCAATTGCACCAATGCCCATCTTTCCAACCTAAAAAAAAAATGCACTGAGAAAGAAGGAAAATACAAAATTTGAAAAATTCAGGATGTCAAGCTGCTTATCTTACCAGGAGCTGCTCAAGAAAACAAAAATAGGTAAGCATGCTGATGATGACAAGCACAGGCACTTCTTGCCAAACCCTGATTGCATATAAACTGGTAAGTCCAGGCAGATCAAAGCTAGACTCGATGTCAAAATTAATTCATGACTACGCTTCTGAGTTTACCATAAAATTAACAAATAGCCAGGATAAAGCACTGAAAGCACAAATCTTAAAACAGAGTTTGATTAGGAGTGGCCGCTGCAGGAATTCAAAATTTCCGCTCCTGCCATTTCTAAGCCATTACAGGGGACATAACTTCATTTTCTAAGGTATGAAGGTATGGAGATCTACCAGAAAATTGACTTGCCTGTAGCCATTAACATCTTCCTGGTGAGCTCTACTTGCTCCAGTCATTCTAGCATGGACACCTGGGATTCGTAACAAAGTCACAGGCAGATTCTGAACCTCTTGCTTGCACACATCACAGGTCTTGTTGCCTTTTATGCTAAACCATTTTACAGCACAATCTTGATGGGCAAGAGCAAGTTCACCTTTGCAGCTGCACTCCATCTTAAGGGTCTCTCCACCTTCGCACAAGCCAACCAAACAAATTCTACAAACAGCCTCTTCTTCGGGTATGTCTTCACCATCAACACCATTGCTTTCTGTATCATTGGACTAGAATCAGAAATATGCTGATAATGACAATAGGTACTGGACAATGTAGAGTACAAAACTAAATATCCCGTTTTTTCCATCGAAAAGAAGTTTAGAGTAAAAAATTAACTATAGAAATGCCAGTGTAATTGAGATTTTGCTTGCATCCCTTCTTCTCAAGATCCAAACTAACTTTAAGATTAAAAGTTTTCAAATCACTTAGCTTGTGAAGGAATGCTAATGGCTATGATGTTTTTTGATTTGATTGTAATGAATGAGGTAAACAAATCATAACAAAGACCAATAACCACTAATTGTTACAACACTTGAAAATTATGAACCACATGGAATGATTGTGCTAGCGCACGACAGGCATGTAGCAAGTAGCAACTCTCAATGGATTCAAACGTGATAAAACAAAAATCTAAGAAGTTTCAGATACACAAATGTGCAATGTACAAAAGCACAAGTCCATCATAAAAAAATAAATAAGGGCAACATACCAGCATCAACACTTGGAGATACATTTGTTATTGTATCTTCTTCCTTCACTCGAGGAGTTGAAGGAATCATGCGGAAAAAAGAGTCCATCCTCCTTATGCTTCTTTCTTTATTATTAACAGGAACTGAAAGTGAGCGAGATATCTGCCGCTGTGTTCCTTTCCTCTGCAAAGACAACCATCAAATTGGGAAAACAGATAATTTGGCAAAGAATTGACTAACCCAGAAGATGCTTAAATAATTCTTGGAGGCTAGCGTAGGCAACTAAATTGATTGATCAGTTAGAATATGCTATCTGTTAAGAACAGCTTTACTAAACCAACTCCCTTGCTCCTTAGGATCAGTGGAACAACAAAATAACTATATCAGATAAGCACGCTATGTTCCTAAAGTTTACCAACATGCATTCTTCAAATTTTGAAGGCCATTAAGCCAGCTAAATAGGTCACTTTATCCATTCAACAAACAAAAACTTACACTTAAATTAAGCATGCTACCATTGCTTCCCCTGCCTGCAGATTCTGCGTTAGAAGTTGCAATTGGTGTTACAGGTAGTGATGACGTTTGCTTCATCCTAGGGGTGAAAATCTTTGAAAGTGACAATGACCTTGAGATTGAAGGTTTCTCCCGTGGTACAGTAGTTGAAGCATCTGGAGCTAGGTTGGCCACTTTTTCAATATCTAAAGTAGAAATTCGAGACTTGAAGCTTAGTTTAGGTAACAAACTTTTTAAGGATGATCTGCCTTTTGATAAGGAGGGGCCTGGGGAACCACTGGCTCTTGCATCCACAGAACTTGGTGTCAAGAGAAAATTTACTTTCCTAGGAGTTGGACTAGGCATTGGGGGCATCCTGATTGCAACAGAATTCTGTGAGGAGTCTTCCAATGTTCTTGAGGGTATCTCTAGAAAGAGATTTCTCCGCTTCCAATGTTGAAAAATGTTAGTTTCTTCAACTATTCCTATTGAGTGTTCAACCTGGAAAAAAACAAAAAAAGGAGAGCAAGAGAATAGAGCAGTGAGTTGGAGAATATGGAAATGATCATACAAAAACCAACAGTTCGTTATTCTTCTTGTAAACAGAGTAGCTAGTAAGCCCAAGGTCTTCTAAGTGTTTACGGAAGTCAGTTATTTAACACACATAATCAAGCACACGCACACGAACACACGCAGAACTTGAAAAGAGATGCATAATAAAAGCAAGTCAAACTGATAAGAACAAATGGCCTAAATGGTATCCACAACAAATGGTTCATCGTTTAAATTTTCCTTTTTAAGTACATTCCAGAGAACTAAAACTCCAACATAGCAGCTGTAGTCGAATCCCTATCCACCTTGTATACAACCTAAGCTAGCCCCAGCCCCCATGTGACTGGCTTACTTAAAATTGTTGAAATTTGGAGCGGCATCACTTCATATTCCAAAAATATACTAGTATTACATAATTCCACATGAACAAAAGTGTATATAGGGGGGTTTGCTCTGCTAATACTGTTACTTCTAATTCTAATTATCCTAGGAGAAAACACAAGTGCCTCTCACATACTTATTATTTTAATCTCATGATCTAAACAATGATGAACTAAATTAGACGACGACAATATAAGAAAAAGGCACAGAAAATAAAGGGAAGTAACCAGGTGCCACTAATTGAAATTAAACTCCTCTCAAGTCTTCCAGTCAAAAAGAATTGACAAGATTAGAATTTGCAATATAAGGAATCAAAATCAAAAACTAGTATGTTGTCTAAGAATACATGATGACTGTTTTTATTCTTTCCTAAAGAAAGATTAAAATGAAGAATTTGATCCAACATATAGAGAACAAATGAAAAACTTAAAGAGAGAGGAGAGCAAAGAAAAACAACACAGAGAAGCAGAAGAAGCAAGAAACAAGAGTGACCAAATACCTTGTCACCTGCTCCTGGACTTGAACATACAGCAACATCTTGCTCCTCCTCATTCTGATGCTTCTCTTGATCAGTTCCCATTGTATTATTGTTGTTGTTAGAGCACCAAAAAAAAAAAAAAAGGGCCCAGAAGCTCAAAAGTTTCAAGTACAGAAAAAGAAAAGCTTGATGAAACTGCGAAGTAGCATGTTTCTTGAGAAGCGTGAGAGAGACGATGAATAATATAAAGTATAATAAATGAGTTGATGGGGGAAGGAGGAAAGAAGGGGTGATGGGTTCTCAGTCAAATCACAAATTCTTTTCATTTATGGCAAAAGGTCGTGGGGAGACCGAGTGGCCTACTGCCACTCCCTTCCCTCCCAAGCTCCCAACACACAAGCACACTAACCACTCCAGTGCGCGCGCGGACGCTTCTTTATCAACTTTTCGTTGAGTCATGCTAAACCTACCCTACCCAACCCAACTGCTGCTCCTTTCATGCTTTTTGCCCCTTGTCTTTCTGGGAATTGATGGTCTTATCCTCTATGTTTCAAACAAAATTCATAAATGTTCATCAATTTACCCCAATCAATAACCGGTGTAAATTAATAGCTTGTTGGAAGGAGATTGAAATGAACTTTTACAAATGTAAGGACTAAATTGATTTTTTAAATACAAATCTTTGTCCATCACAATCAAAGTGATTTGATGGCAAGACCAAACTCAATGGATGCTCATGCCAACCAAGAATAGGTTTTTATTAAGTAGTTACAAATTAGGCGGTTGCCCGCATTAGGCTGCTAGTTTAGTAAAATAAAATTATTTTAAAATTTTAAAATTTTAATTATAATTTCTTATTTAATTATTTTTTAAAATATTTTTTATAATTTTTTTACTTAAAAAAACATAAATCATTTTTCTTTATGAATTGATTTTAATTCAAATATTAATCAAAAATTAAAAAAATTAAAATATATTTTTTCATAATATTGCATTCCAAAAGTAAAGTTATAATTAATAGATAGACTTTTATAAAAACTAACAAATAGAAAAAAATTCTTATTTACTCGTTGATAAGAAGATTAATCTTTGAAATTATTCACACAACGCTACGGGTAGATAGAATAAAATGATTTCAAAATTTTATAATTTTATAATTAATTTTTAATTTAATTATTACTATTTTTTTGTTTTTCATATAATTTTTGCTTAAAAGATGATTTATTTTGCTTTATTTAGGGATTCCTAAATAAAAAATTATAATATATAATTTAAACCTATATTAATTAATAATTTAAAAATAAATACGTTAAAAATATATTATTTTATAAGAATATATCCAAAAAATAAAGTTACAATTAATGTATAGACTTGCATAAAAATTAACCAATGAAAAAAATAAAATTTTATTCTTATTTCATGTTGATGAGAAGATTATTTTTTAAAAGTATATACATTTGATCTATATATATTATATAATCGTCCGTTTGTGTGGAAAAAAATAATGATTGATTTTAAAAAATTTTAACACCCAATTAAACAAACAAAGAACATATATTGATGAAAAAATAATAATAAATAATAATGAAAAGGAATGTAGTGCATCGGCTATGGATTAAAATTTTTATTTTAAAATTTTAGGAATCAAAATGAAATAATTTAAAAATTATATAAAAAAAAACCTAAGAAAAAAGAAAAAAACTAAGAGTGAAAATTTAAAAAAAAAAAAACACTTAAGATTGAATAATAAATATTAGGAGGGTAAAAAAAAAAAAAAAGAGTGAATAGTACACTCGTGAGGATAAAAAAAGAAAAGAAAAAGAGTGAATAGTATAAAAAAAGGTTAAGATATTAAAATTTATTTAGTTTTAGTATATTAAAGATAAAAATCAAATATGTTAAAACTTTAATGACTAAAATAAAAACATATCACAAAATAGAACAAAAAAAGGATATAAATTTTTACTAAAAGCTAAGAAAAAATATTTATTATAGGGATAAAAATCAAATATAATAAAATTTTAATATTTATTATCAGGATAAAAATCAAATATAATAAATTTTTAATGATCAAAATAAAAAATATTACAAAACAGAGACCAAAATAAAAAAAAATTCCTTAAAAGCTTGGCTAAGCAACCAAAAAAAGGAGGCGAATAGTGAATGAAATAATTTTTTAATGATCAAAATAAAAACAATTACAAAATAGGGACCAAAATAAAAAAAATATTACAAAACAAATACCAAAATAAAAAAAAATATTTAAAAGCTTGGTTAAGCAACTGAAAAAAAAAGAAGAAAAAAGGAGAGGGCAAACAGTGAATGAATAGGGAAGTGCTACAACACTATTCCATTTTCTTTTAGTATTTCTTATAATTTAGATTGGTTTTTATTAAATAATTATAAATTTGGATTGAGTATAGATATTTAAAATTCTTGCTCCACGAATAATAAATAAAATATGAATATTATTAAACCTAGTATGTTATCCGATTCTAAACCGACTTTATATATATATATTATTGGTATGATATCTATAATTTTTTTATTTAATTTACATACATATACCTTAAATATTGTCACCTTTTTATGTTGAATAATATTGTAATGGATATCCAAATGTTGGATGATGAATAAAGTATGGTATTAGTTTTGGGCATATATATATTATTGGTATGATATCTACAATGTTTCTATTTAATTCACATACATATACCTTAAATATTGTCACCTTTATATGTTGAATAATATTGCAATGGATATCCAAATGTTGGATGATGAATAAAGTATGGTATTAGTTTTGGACATGAAAATGTGCATCGATATACAAAAAAATAAAAAAAAATAATAAAAAAAAAAATCTCAATCCATGGATACCATTGTTATTTCATCCCTAATTGATATTCTCACGATGAACTACGTACATGACAATTAAATTTTACTCTTAAAAAGTGGAATTTAGTTATTTTTAATGCTTGTTTAACGATAATTGTGTTTTAGAGCCCATTAACTAATACTTATCAACTAAAATGCCAATCGATTAAATTTGAATGCGAGTGGATAAGACAAGTATCTTGGGACAAAACTTTTCTCCTCCCTTTATTAGTGTTCCCGCCCATCCTCTCTTCTTTTTTTTTCTTTTCTTTTTTAAATAGCGCAGAGGAAATTAATAAGATACATACCTCCTATTATGATTGATTCAAGATATTGCTAAAAGAAAACTACGAATGCCAAGGAGAGAGAGCCTTCTAGTCTATGCCAATACTTTAGGGTTTTGTGTGTTGATGAAAAACATAGGCTTTACTTACTATTTATATGGTTAGACCGAAACTCTTTCTTTAACCTAATTTTGCACCTCCATCCATCATGGATGTGCCTAGCCTACCACTAAAGTCCATTGGGCTCTAAGTCTTTAAAAATTGTCACTTATAGATTTAAAACAAACATGACATATGGGTCACACTATAAAATATTTCTCACATTCTCCCACTTGGCCCATATGACACTCCCAAAAATGATAATTTCTTTATAGAGTCCAAAATGATTAGTTAGTAAAAACACTCATACTTGCATTAAGAATACAATATATGAATCTTAGTGGTCATGCTTTATAACTAAGCATTTCTTTCCATGTATTACAATATATTACACCCTTAAAACAAGCAATTAATGAGCAAATAAACTTTATGAATGAATTTTCAATAAGTCATGTGAGTCCAACTTTATATATCAAAAGTAATATAAAATTAATACTTTGTTGTGCATAAAAATCACATCAATCTTTAAGAACAACTTAAAAAATGTCTAGAAAATCGATAAAAGAAAATGAAGTCAAACAATAAATGGGTTAGCTAAACCCATACGATCTACATGATCTCTATATTGTTTTACCAACAATGCTTTAGTTATAGGATCCGCAATCATTAGCTCGGTGCTAATATCCTCAATGAGCACTTCATATTCCTTCACTTTCTCTCTCACGATAACATACTTTATGTCGATATGCTTTTTTCGACTTCCACTTTTATTATTCTTAGAAAAGAAAACCCTAGCTGAATTGTCATGGTAAATCTTTTCTGGTCTTGATATGGAATCGACAATTTATAGACCGAAATGAAGTTTCTTAACTAAATAGCTCGTTTCATTATTTCATAGCATACAATGAATTCTGCTTCTATAATAGACGAAGCAACAATAGTTTGCTTAGTGCTTCTCCAAGACACGACTCCTCCAAGAAAAAGAAAATGTATCCTGAAGTAGACTTTCTTGTATTTACACAACCAAGTAAAATTCGAATCGAATAACCAACCACCTCAAGGTAAGTAGTATGTCTATAAGTCGGTCTATAATTCTTGGTTCCTTATAGATATCTCATGACTTTCTTAGCAGCTTTCTAATGGTCCATTCTAGGATTGCTTTGGAACCTACCTAGCATTCCTACTCGTAAATGCCAAGTTAGGTCTTGTACAAACTTGTGCATACATCAAACCGCCTACTTGTAGATGCATAAGGAATGTTATTCATCTATTCCTTTTCCAATGCATTTTGTGGGCATTGATTCGGATTGAATTTATCCCCTTTGACAATGGGTGCTATTGAAGATGCACAATTTGAGATCCTGAATCTTTCCAAGGCTTTTTCAATGTAGGCTTTTTAAGACAGTTCTAATATTCTTTGAGATCTATCTCTGCGAATCTCTATGCCAATAATATAAGAGGCTTTACCTAAATCCTTCATATCAAAGTTTTGAGAAAGAAATTGCTTAGTCTCATGAAGCAAACCCAAGTCATTACATGCAAGAAAAATATCATCTACATATAGGACAAGAAAAATATATTTTCTCCCACTAACTTTTAGGTATATGCATTGATCAACAATGTTCTCAATAAAACCATATAAGGTAATAATATTGTGAAACTTAATATACCACTTGTCGAGAGACTTACTTTAGCCTATATATAGATCTTACAAACCAAATGACTATTTGTATCATTACAAAAACCTTTAGGCTGATTCATGTATACCTCTTCATCTAAATTTTCATTTAAAAATATTTTTTTCACGGTTATCCGATGTTGCTCTAAATCAAAATAAGCTACTAA